GAGAGAGAGAGAGAGAAAGAAAGAGAAGGGGGAAAAAAGGGGGTGGGGGTGTCGAAGAATCCTTGTTGTCAGGTGCCACAAGTGTCAGTGAGGAAGATCGATACAGACGTTAGAAGAGCGGTCTATGTATGTCGTGTGAATGCAAAGCTCAAATATCTCTCTGTACATTCCCCAACCTTTGTTGCGGCATAATGTGCACCTTACGCTGAGGCCAGGGCCAATCGAGACCCGCTCTGTGTCAGAATTTGGTGCACACTGCCCAGCGTACTTTCTTGCTTGCCCTTTTGCCTTCTCTTTTTCAAGAGGTATACATACCTTTGCTGGTACACATACACAAACACACACATATACACACACACACACACACACACACACACACACAAATACACACACACACACACACATGCACGCACACACACACATGCACGCACACACACACAAACACACACACATACATGCACGCACACACACATACCCACACACATGTGAATACGTACACATGCACCGTCATTTAATGGAAGTGGAACAGACAGAGAAAAACAACATTGGCGAAGTAAAGAAGTAGGACTTAATCTGTGGCGGCCTTCATCCACCAACATAATAATATTTATATCCTATACATCTTATATATTATAAATGCATATACATACTGTAATATTTATAATATAAAATGTATCAAGCATCGCTATTTGCGCTGTTAAGTCAAAACATTGTGTTATAACGCCATTGCACAAGTTGTATAAATATTATCTATTTCATTCTACAAATCAAAGTAAACAAGGTGAGAAACAAACAGCAAAGCGCTTGCAACAGCAAAATAACATCTTCATCTTCATCATCATCATCATCATCATCATCATCATCATCATCATCATCATCATCATCATCATCAACAACAACAATATTAACTCGACTTTTACACAGAGACCTGGCTTATCATCTCATATAATGATAGCTGATACTGCACAATCACAATTCGAGAATCAAAGAAACGTTTTCACAGCACTTAGAATGACAATATAAACGTGAGGTGAAAGTGTGCTCTACACAAATTTGGATATGTCCTAACAGTGGGGTATCTCGGCATTCATTGGCTGATGTCCTAGTAATAAGGCGCGTCGGCATTCTTTGGTTGTTCCAGCGGAATACTGTATTATTTTAAGTTACGTCGTCTTTATACATTCTAGCTAATTTAAGCAGCGGGAATAGTACAATTTAATTTAGTTTGATTCCTATTCGTCTCAATTTTGTTTTCAGTAGGGAGTGTCTAAAAAAAGGACCCATTTGAAGGAGAATTAATACCCCATCTTAGGATCAATTTTAACAAAAACCCGAATGAGTAAAATCCTACCACGGGGACGTGACAGTTGTTAATGTGGAGAAAATCATTTGCCATATTCGAAAAAAAGTAAAGTTTTACTCTACAAAATTCCACCAAAACTAACTGAAGCACAAAAATTACGACTTCTTAAAAATCGACAACTTTGTTCTATTTCAAATAATAACTACATGTATTTGTGCATTGAAGAACACATTTATACAAAATAATTATTTCCCCCCAAAAAATAGAAAAGATGGTGGCTACTAAAATCTTATGCTCCAGGTGCTGACTGTTAAGATTTCTCCCTGTCCAAGCTGCAGTAGCCACTGGAAATTTTAAATGTGGCTTGCTTCTTGGTCGGTTCTTTTGACCACATGTTCAACATTTAGTTTCAATTGTTCAACAGTTTGTGGGATGTTTTCGTAGTCTGTCTGTCAAAAAAATACCCCTCAGAACGGGCTGATCACGCCTCAGTAGCCGAACCTTTTTTTAAGAAGTGAAGTTAATGTAAAGATAATCGAGTTACATCCTTCCAGATGGTTCTTGTTTTTAGACTCCCAGTATAAACATATTTAATACCAAACGAAGCACAGCTAATGATAATTATAGTTTCTCAGTTACGTCATTATGCGGAGGTATGTAAACATATTAGCACTAGAAGTGATTTTGTTTTAATACACACACTCACACACACACACACACACACACACACACACACACACACACACACACACAC